TGCACGTCATTTTTTTTCCCAGATCAAGTTCGGATGGCCGACTGGCGGCCATTTTGTTTAAAAGAATTCAGTTCTGGACCTGGAATGATCAAGTTCAAACTTCACACACACATGGTACATCATGTCACAAATAGATATGTGCATTTGTTTCATGATCCGCTTGACAATATCTGAATGATGGCCATTTTAAGGCCGAAAATGCATCAAAATCACATATTTTCACAATTTCCGGAACCGGATCTCAGTCATGCATGGATGGATTTTGTTCAGATTTAGTGCATATATTAAACATAATATAAGCTTGAATTTTTCTTCGAATCAAGTTCAAAATGGTCGACTGGCGGCCATTTTTTATTAAAGAATTTAGTTTTCGGCCCATATCTCGAACATGCCTGGACAGATCAACTTCAAACTACACACACATACACAACCTGTACATATGCAGGTGCATTTTGGTCATAATCCAATTTAAGATGGTCGACTGGCAATCATTTTAATGTGGAAAAATCATCAAAATCTTGCATTTTCACCATTCCAGAACTGGATCTTGCATTGGGAGATTTTCATGCACATCATTTTGTTTTTTGAATCTGGTTTAAAATGGCCAGCCGGTGACTATTTTGTTTTACTAAATATAGTTCCGGATCCATTTCTCAGGCATGTCTGGACTGATCAAGTTCAAGTTCAAGTGTCATACATACATCATACATGTTGTACACACATGTATGCATGTTAGGTGGGTCAAGATCTGATTTAAGATGGGTGTATAACATCCATCAAAGGTCAAAAATTCGTCAAAATTGCACATAATCACCATGGGTGAATTTAGTTCACACTTCATGCATACATTGTACATTATGGTACCTTGAATCACGTTATTTGTTTTCCAAATAGGGTTTTAACTGAATACAGTTCAGCATCCATATCTCAGACATGCCTGGACAGATCAAGACCACACTTCACACACATCATACAATGTGTTGTACATATGCAGGTGCATTTCGGATCAGACCACTGAAAGTGGTCTGAGATTTCGGTCATGATCTGCTTTGAATGTATATGTCACTCAAATATGAACGGAACGGAACGGGGACGTGTCATTGACAATGACTTGTTAAAGCTGTATTTTATTAGAAGCTCTTTACATATGAAGTCATTAGTTGTTCATACCCAAGTGCAATACTTTTCATATTACCATGAATCGTGTATAAGAAATTCATTAAATGCCAAATGCGATGCACAAATTTTCAATGTTTTCAATGTACAATGTACCTGTAACCATAGAATCAACTTTTCTGAAAAAACACACATTGGTTTATTGTTTTTTGTCCTTCACTCACATAGAAATTTAGATGCCAATAAAATAAAAGAAGTTCCTGCTACAAGTTTCCAGGGACTAATCTCTTTGAAGTATTTATGGTTGGCTGCAAATTATATGAATGACGTCCCTACAGAAGCTTTGAGCCTGTGTCACTCATTGGAAGCACTTACTTTGGCGTTGAATAATATATCATTAATTAAAGACTATGCATTCATCAATATGACAAAATTGAATGCACTGTAAGTATCAGTAAGATCTTCAGTGATTGAAGAGCAGTGATGCTTTGCTTGAAAGGTTAAACATGGGACAGAATTAACAACCTAATCTCCATGAAATGGCCATGAGGTTATTGAAATTACCTTGCTATTCTGGGGACTGGCGCCTTACTGTATTCAAATTGAGCATGTATACATTGTGGGTGTGTAACAAATGATGAAGTAGATAGACCAGGGACACGTGACATTGTAGGGAGTTTAATATACACATATCAAAATGTGTGGGAATTTTTTTGATGTAATACAATTGATAATCCAAGGTGATCTTAACTACACATCCTGTTGTTTTGTTGCATGCATCAGCTGCTGCCGTTTCTATGCTTAGCACATGAAAACATTTTCAGATATTCGTATACCGTACATGTCACCATAGCATATTACTGATTCCTGTTTCATGGCTATGATTTTTCTCACCTAGTTGTCTTATTTCCAAAGAATTTATACTTTTTAAATCTATGATATTTTATCGTTTGTGCAGGGATGGATTCTCTAATATATTACCATAGGACTATCATCAATATGTATGTGTATTTAGTGCTTCAACCTGATTGGAGGATAGAGCCCTTCACTAAGATGTTAGCCAATCCTCAGCGCTGACAATTACGCAATACATTCATAAACTAAACAATACAATGTACATACTTCTACTGAGGCTTCCCTCAGCTTAGCAAACATAAACATCCTTTATTGTGATGTCTGCAAAGATAGCTGTGATTCATCTTCCAAAATGTTAAGATCATGCTTCTCTCTGTCAATTTATATACAACTACATAATAAGTAGCTTATGAAATGTTGAATTGATTGTTCCAAACTTTTTTCTCTTCAGACTTCTTCAAGAAAACATTATCAGAATTCTTGGAGATCATGCCTTTGATGGATTGGATCACTTAACACATCTGTAAGTTTCAATTCAGTGCATTTAAATTTGCAGTTTACTGTTTTTAAGGTCATTCAATGTGCAGTCTCATGTATATTGCTAATCTTATGTCTGCCACAATACTGTTTATTTATAGTTTAATTGCTTTATACTATCATTAATATCTTGCTTATTTATCTGAAAGGGACTTGAACCTGAATCAAATAACGGAGTTTCCCGTGGCTCTTTCTGTATTGAGTCGTTTGAAAGAATTGTAAGTTTTCTTTAATAATGTTGTTCAACATCTAGTCTCTCAAAATTAATAATAAAGTAAATGCATGTGGGGATTTCCAGTATCTGCTGAGTCTCTTTCATTGATCTCTGTTTGAATTCTGAAGTTGTGTGGATGTCATTTTGATTTTTTTGAATCCTTAAAGTGTTCAGATAGATATAACATTTTAATTTGTTGACTTAGCTAGGTGGATATGGTCTTTGAACTTTTGTTTGCTTGATCTGGTATGTTAACATACTTTACACTGGCATTGTATTATATATTTTTACATCATATAGAGATTTACAGCGCAACCGAATATCATATATTCGAGACAATGCATTCAGTGGTAATCCGGAACTAAAGATAGTAGAGCTTCTTGGTAATTCCATTCGTTCAGTTGGAAAATATGCCTTCTCCAATATGCCAAAGCTTGAGAAATTGTAAGTGTAAGGAAAGAATGAATGAATTTATGGGTTACATATGTTTATTTTTAATATGCTGTGAATTTCAACTTGAAAATTGTGAAAACTAACACCCTTCAAGTGAATTTGTTTCACTGCTGATTGTGGCTATGCATATTTTACTATCATAAAATATTTTCATCTGATTTGTAAATCATTTGGATATACTGAATATGTAACCGTTAATGGATCTTTTATTGTTGTAGAGCATTATCAACCGCAAAAGACTTGAAAGAGTTTCCTGATTTAACTGGTACAAGTAGTATATCTGGCTTGTAAGTTTTTATTGTCACAATTGCTCTATTCACAGGATATGCAAGTTATGTATTATCCCTTTACCAACTTAATTTATTTTCAGGAAAACAAACGTTAGGGCATAGAGAATTACAAACTGTGAGGGCGCTATATCCCAATTTCTACATCTACGGTAAAATCTGTATTAGAAGCCACAGCTTCTATTTAAATGGGACAATGCAACAAGGGGGATGCGGTTTCTATTAGAGCGTCTACACATGAGAAATTGTGATTTTTTAGATTCTCATTTTTCAAAAAGAATGGGTACGACTTTTATTAGAGACGCAGCTTATAATACAGATTTTACGGTAGTTGATCGTCACAGTAGAAAGGTATCAGATATGTATGATTGATGAGCTGATTATGATCATTTATTTAAAGCTATTTTCAGTTTGTTATTAAGAAATAATTCATAATATACTGCACTATTCACCTTTATATGCTTGAGCCACAGGCATGTGCATACATGTATACAGAATGAATTGTACAATATCAATGTGCTATACCTGACTGCGGCAGTGGTGTATTGTTGTTACAACAACTTAAATTTAAATGGAGTTCTAAGAAATAGAAATAATGTTCAAGCACCTGAAACCAACATCTGAAACCTTCTTATTGCAACTGTGGTCAAGATTATTGATACATAGAGTGGTGGCGCAAATTTAGACTCTTATTTTAACATTGCATGTAGTTTTTTGCTGGCAGCAACATTGATATAATTACGTAAAAATCGTCTGAATTGACATCAACAAAAGACTCTGATTAGTACTGTACGTCTGATTACTTTCTGAGGATAAACAACACTTTTTTAATTCAAGAGCAAGAATCTGCAGATGGCAGTCATGTTTTTCGTAATTTTTTTGCGTAATTCTGAAACGATAACCTTTTTTTTTAAAAACCTAATACCTGAGGGTTATATAATATTTTTCCTGATTTCAGTTGCCAGCAGAATTTACTCCTGGTATTTTAATCGCTCATAGGTTCTACTTGTAAACTTAAAAAAACATGGTATATTGTCTATTTAACCACTGCTTGTATAAATGACAAAATTTAAAAAAATCTTTTATCAATCAGAACGACGTATCTGAGATTAAAATGCTGGTATGATAAAATGATGGTTAAACACTAGAGAGATCAACTTAATATATTTCTTCTTGTAATTCTGTAGGCACCTTGATCGTTGCTCTATCCAATCAGTTCCTGATGACCTGTGTATTCAATTACCTAACTTGAAAAGCCTGTAAGTGTAAAGTTCTTGGCATTTTTTATCAATCATAAAACTGTTTGTGTTCATGAGCACTTAGCTATCAATTCTAGTATTGTTTTATACATCTTATGGGCCTGTTTGACTATTTTCATTCTTTGTTATGGTAATATTATGTATTCATTGTTTTCCTATTTAGGGATCTTCACTCAAATCCAATACAAACCATACCCAATCTGTCAGAATGTAATGAACTTCGAATAATGTAAGTGGCAAATTCTTGTCTAAGCTACTGCAGCTAA